GCAAACCCGCATACTCGCTCCCCGGGGCATTGCCCCGATTGGAACGCCGGGCATAGCCTCTTGCCATCACGCATCACTGCGGTCAGGCGCCGGCCGTTGAGCGAGGCCGGCATCGTGGTAGCTGGCTTCGCTGCCTCTGCCTTGGCTTTGGCGATCCGCTTGAGCTTCTGCGTCAGGGCGAAGCGCTTCTGAAGCTCCTTGGGGCGTGGGGGGGCCGCCCACACCACCTGGGCGTCCCGCGCCTTGGCTTGGGCTGCCGCCGCCTGGCCAGCCTGGGCCGCCTCCTGGACCTCCGCCGGCGGAACCAACTCCCAGGACTCGTGGTGGGTCAGAGCCGCAACCGCTCCCACCATCCTGTGCTTGGCCAACAAGGACGCCGCGTACTTGGCCCCGCTGTAGTGCAATGGCATGCGAGCATCCTCCGGGACGTCGCCTTTGGTCTGCCAGTCGCCCAGTGCCGCCATGTCGAGGGCGCTGAACCCCACCAGTTGGCCCACCGTGGTACCAACCCGCCTGAACGAGTACGACGACACCATCGCCGGGTTCTCCACCAAGTCCGCAAACTCATGCCGGACCATCCGGTAAACATCGGATAGCGACCACGGGATCCCCTCCCGACGGAACGCCAGCCCGCAGTCTGCCTTCTGCTTCTCCGGCACCAGGGCAAAGTCATGGAGCCAGGCCGCCGACCAGTCCCACCCGGTTGACAGCTGTCCGGGTACGCAGAAGTCGAAGCCCTTGCGAAGGCGCCGCTGCTTCCCTTTGATGCAGTGCGCATGGACCGTCGACATGGTTACCTTCCGCACCTCCGCCCGAGTGAGGTGCTTGTGGCGTAGAACTCCTCCATAGAGCATCCATGCCGCCAGCAACGCTTGCCAGCGATCATCGCCCTGCGTGTAGAGCTCCTCCATCCGCTGCTCCATCTTCAGCAGCATCACCGGCTCCACCACGGCTGCCTGTCCCCTGGGCCCTGCCCGGCGCGCCTGTCCCGCAGGCGGCGTGAGCATGCTCAAACCCAGATCCACCCTCGCCTGCTTGGTGAGCCAGCGCAGTGATTGGGTAGCACGGGCCGGGGCAGCTGTTCCTTCGTGGAGGAAAACATCAAGGTCGACCACCTCCGGCGGCAGCGGGCGAGAACGCGCCTGCATGAAGGTGATCACCTCACCCCATGTGCGCAAGGCATTCAACACCGTGGCCCTTTCCGCCTCCGTCAACCGCTGCGCCAAACGAGTACATGATCCTTTCCACTCGCGCCGCAGCTGCTCCGTCAGGACTCCTGTCGGCTTCATCGCCCCCATGTCCTGCAGTGCCTCGCCGAGCCGCTGGACCTGCATCGTGATCGCCTCCGGTTCGTCTTGAACTGCACGAAGGCGTACCGCCGGAGCCCTCGAAGGCCGAGGGGCCAGAGGCCGAAAAGGAAGGTGAACAGCCGTCCCCCGGCTCTCACCCTCCACCACATCAGCCGCAGCCGGCAGCAGCTCGGACTCCTGCCACGAGTTGGCCAGGTCCCTGCCGCCAGTAGTCAGCGCCTCCTCAAACGAGCGGAAGGCGAACGCAAAGTCCGCATCATTCTGCAGCCCGTGCTCGCGCCTCCACCTGGCGGTGTGCTGGGCGCCCACCACGCCCAAAGCCGACTCCGGGTCCCACTGCCCCCCGGCGTCCCCCGCCAGGCGAGCGTAGATCCCGGTCGGTACAGCTGCCATGGCGCTAAGGATCCCCCAGAGAGACCAAATGGCTGAGGCATTCCTCGCAGATCGGCCTGTCCCGGATGACGTTCCGTGTGAGGGCACCACACCGCATGCAAGGGGGGGGAAACACACGCTCTCCCGCCGCAAAACCAGCCAGCCACTGCCCCAGAGCCTTCCCGGCCCAAGCAGTGGCCCCATCGCGACTCTCCCAGTCGCCGGAGGGGATCGGCTCATATGCCGGCTCTCGCCAAGAGACCCGGCCTGCCTGCCACCTCCTCCACGCCCAGAAGACAGCCTCCCGATCGAGGCCACACTCCTCGAGGCCGGCCAACTCCACGTAGCCAATGAACCGCGCCACGTGCTCGGGGACCAGCTGCTGCACTCGCATGCCCGAGTCAACGGCCCGAAGCTGATCCTCATCCAAGTAGTCCCGGCCCGCATAGTAAAGGTCCCAAGCTGCCTCCGGGCCAACCTCCGCTTGAACCAGGACTGCGCGTTTGGTCCATGTCCCGAGCCACGGGAACTGGAACCCCCCACGCATCTCTGTGCACCTAGCACACCCTTCCTTGCACGTAGGATTCGAAGTCCATGAGGGCCGCCGGGTGCAACATCCGCGCCTGACAATGGGCCACCAAAAGGCCTGCATCGGCGCCAGACATGCCGGAGTCCCACTCCAGTCAACAATATGACCGAAAACCAAAAAGGTGTCTGCCAATTTGGCTCAGTCTTGATCCAAAATGGCAGACCCATAACAATTGATGATACATGTTCACCCAATGCCTGCCAAGCTCTAAACATGGCATACACAACAAGGCAGTCCGTTTTGCGAGCCTTGACCCTTCCCAAACAAGATGTAAAAGCCCAGTCTCTGCAGGTAGGCGCAGTCGTTCTTGGTGGCAAGACCATCTGACACGATCTGCAGGCTTGAAGCCAGGAACAGTCCCGTGCTCACTCCACAGCTGTTGAGGGACGCGGACGTGGCGTTGGTCACGCACCAAATCGGGAGCTGCGCGGCATTCGTGGCCACCCAAAGCAGGTTGAAAACAAGCCCCACGCCGTTCGCAGAGCAGGATTTGTCCTTAGCACGCCAAAACCATCTTGACACGGAGTGATACCTGCGGACCTAAACGGATCAAGCTGCAAGGCGATAGTGCCAGAGTTTGCTCCTAGAAAAGCTGCCGCAGCCACTGCCCATACCGTGATTGGCCAAGCAAAGCCAAAGTTATTGATATCATCCCCACTCTGCGCCTCGAAAATTGCAAGCCCAAGCTTCTGTGTCAGTATCTGGGCAAAGTCCAGGAATGGTCAATGCATCGATGTTCAGCCCAGCCCAACCCACAAAATTGGCCAGGTCGTAGATGGCCCCAACGCACTGGGCGACCCGGTAGGATTTTTCTTCCACTCGTCCTGGTCTATGTAGACGTACGACGCGGGCCGCCTGGCTGGCCACAAACAGCTCTCTGCATTTTTTTTCGGGGGGGAAGGTTTTGAAGCCGAAAAGCCCTCCCAGCACAACGTTAGCAACCGCTGGTCGAGCGGGGAAAGGCGGAAAGGGTACGTGGCCGGAAGAGGGAACCATCGGGAATGCTCGGAAGCGGCCGATGGTGAAAGTGCTCAACGGCCGCCATTACGCAATCTGGGGAATAGGCAAATACTTCAGCACATGGCTAGAAACGAGTTGAAAGTACTCGAACTTTGAAGCTACTTTCAGCTTTCCAATTCGTGACCCTGAAAATCCCTAAAGCAACCCAAACACTCCTGCACCCAAATCCACCCCAACCCACCGCACTGATCCCCAAGACTCACGCAAGCCCCAATCAAGCACAAACCCAAATCCAGATCTTTTCCTGAGCTATGCTGCGCCATGGCGAAAACTAGCTCTACCGTCAAAGCTACCAACCCTAAACCCCAAACAACCTTTCACCACCCTCAAATAACCCAAGCCTAATGCATCTCAGTCTTGGTTTCCAACTCACCAAATTGGTGTCCAACTCCCGTCGGCGCAGATTCCAACTCCTGTCAGATGCGTGTCATGGTCAGGAGTCCCTGCAGGCTGATGGTGTTTGAAAGTCCCGAAGGCTTGCTGACAGTCCCTAAGGAAGACAACCATGACATCAGAGCATTCCGCTGTGCAAATGTCCAAGCTCCAGATTTTCTTCCCCAACTCAGCTCTGCTCACCTCTGCTCCCCTCTGCTCACCAAACTTCCCAGCCCGCCTCCCTGAGGCGCCGCAACGACTGGCTGGAGCCTTGTGGCGCCATGGCGCGGAGCCGCGGCATCTCGAAACCCAGGAGCTCCTCGAAGCGCCGCAGGCCCGCGCTGCCGGGCACCGGACACGCGGCGAAGCCGGCGGCGCAAGCGAAGGCCAGCAGCAGGAGGCCTGCGATCGCGAACCCCATCGGCCGGGCGGTCGGAACCGCCGGGCGTTCACGCGTGCGTGCTTGCTTTGTTTTGCTTTTCTTCTGTTCCTTGTTTTCTTGGTTTCTGGAAGGAATCAAAAAGGGCGGTGTGTCCGACCCCGAGATCCGGGTCATGGGGTGTAGTTGCTTGCTCCCTCGCGGTGCAATCCTCGCGTTGCAATGGCGGGCTGGTTCGATCGAAAGCCAGTGTTTCATGGCATGGCTTGCAAATCAATCCGTTATGGCAGCCTACGGTCAACTGTGAAGTTCGAGCTCTGCTCTGTGACTTGGGCTTGCTTCTTATTGGACATGCCACGGAGTTCTGCCCAAATCTTCCGCGTGCTGGGCATTGCTTTACATTGTAGCTGATGTGGTGATCCGTCCATTTCTCGCATGTTCTGACAAATAGTTGCTGCTCACTCTCAAACCTTTGCCAAGACCAGGGCCTGCTTTACAAATTATGCTGTGGTTTTGCAACTTCGGCAGAGAGCCCAGCAGGCCAAAGGTCTCATCTGTCACCGCATGTGAGGTGTCGAGCGAGCTCGACGAGACCATGTCATGCCAAGGACAACGGCTTTCTCCGTCTTACAATTTTTCCATGGCACGGGCGACGCGACTGACCAAGAAGGCCCAATGATTTCCATGTGGGCATGTGGACTATGTCGTCTGTGTGCTCACTGCTTGACGTGTTCCCATTTGTCCTGCAAGGCTGTGTTGACAGCAACAGATGCATGAATCGAGCAGCTACGCCAGGCTGGCCTCGAGCACAAACGTTGCAAGACCGACTAGCCCGCCCGCCCTGCCTAGGCGTTGCACCCCACAACAATGTTCGGTCGGGCCGACCAATAAAATGCAGCTAGCGAAGCCTCACCGCAAACTTTGCTCTTCAAATCTCGCTGGCCGGTGTCCTGTCCTGTTCATCGACCTTGTCCGGAAAAACAAAGGCGGACACCGCAGCAGCCACTTCGGCCGCAGAACATCCGTCCAACACGTTGTGAAACACCACCTGCGGAGCTTGAGCGCCGCGCTTGCCAGCTCAACACCCACATCTATGGCGCCAAGGGTCACAAATTTGCCTCACTAGGAACCTGAAAATTGCATCTGCACTGCATTCAACTGGCTGAGGCTTCCATCTGCAATGCACATGCGAGTGCCCTCAAACCCTTCCATCATCCCAAGGGCTGCCTCGATGATGGTCACCTCGTCGCCGGAGAGCACCTCCGTGGCAGCACGTCCTGGACAGCAACTGACAAAGCAGACGCGATAGAACGAAGCGCCATTTTTTATGAGGCGAACCCAACGGCCGCCTTTCCCTCTCACCGAAAAACGAAAACATAAAAAGAGCATCTGTGTCTTCAGGAGCAGCAACTGGCTCAAGTTCAACAACTCAACCATCTGTGTGAACAGAGAGAGAGAGAGAGAGAGAGAGAGAGAGAGAGAGAGAGAGAGAGAGAGAGAGAGAGACTTGCCAAGAGAACCTGAAACACCTAGCATGTCATGGGTGTGCCAGTGCCCGAACCAGTTCGCCTGCCGGGCATGTCCTTTCAAGGAGATGAGGCCCTCTTCATCCAGGCATCCCAAATCGTTCAACACCTGCCAGTCACTTAGACATAGAAAGGTTGCCAAATCAAGTGGCATTCCTGTATTTCACTTGAATCATTCGCCTGGGTTCTCAAGATATGTGGGCCAGTGAAATGAGTGAGACGCTCGCAGAAACATAAGTAGGAGTTGGGAGAAGACAAACAACGCGCGGACTCAAAATATGCATCGAGCAGTTTCCGTCTGGACAATGGCTTTTGGGCAAGACCAGCTGCTTTACATGACTGTCCGATCGATTCCCAGGTAAAACAGCACCACCAATTGGCAGATGAACCGGCAATGCGTTTTGTTTGGGGGACGGAAGCTTATCTGTGTGCATGTGTGCGTCTGTCCATCAAAAGTTCGAGCATCTCTGATTGAATAGGCGATCACATGTCAATGTGATAAGGCTGTGCAGAAATGAAAGTAGGCGTACCCGCGCGCGACGACGCAGGACGACGCGGGACAATTTTTGACAACCAGTGTCAGCGCCTGAGCGTAGATAGACTCCCGCAGTACTGCAATGTGGCATGTGGTGTGGCTCAAACAAAATGCAATCTCCTCTGCAAACAAACATCCTCAGTTCATGTTTGGCACACACAACGTGAACTCCCTGGACTCCTCCTAACTAAGCCTTCCCTCTGACTGCCTTTGGAAAGCTGGGCGGTTCCCAAACCGACCCCTGGACCCGTCAACTTGCCGCCTGCTCTTTGGCCCGCAGCTGCGGCAAGAGTCCCAGAGACTCGGAGCCCAGCTCCCGGCTCAGGTCCTCACCGGGAAGTTGGGGTGTTCGAAAGGGTTCCGAAGAATCTGTACTCACCATCTCCTGCCGTTTTGTTTTGGTTCTTTCTTTTGTTCGTGGGTTTTCCACCACACAAATTGAATGACTGCATTGCTTTGGCTCATTTGCGGTCATGTTTTGCCTGCGGCTTCGGACTTCCGGCCGGAATCTGCGCTGTGGGTCTTTGATTTGCTAATGCACGTCAACCTTTCGTTGCTGTATCCCGAGTGACTCCACTCAACGTGCAAGGAATCCACCTGAATTCCACCATACAATTGGTCCAGTTGAGTTTTGGTCCGCCCATGCAAGCAGACACCACAAGTCTTTAATTGAAATTGCTCGGCAAGCCGCATGGCCAATCTGCAATTGCCGTTCTCGTCCCGGCTTCTAGTCTGGGCAAACAGAAGATACACCAAACCCAAGATGCCAATTTGAGGCTCCAAAGATGGGGTGGCTCAAAATTCGCCTCGGCTCCAAGGGGGCCAAGGGCGCTCAGATCTTTTTTCCAAAGAAAATCTTCGCTTGCAACCCAATTTTTCTCTGCCTAAATCCAGCTCAGTTTGTTGCAAAAGTGTTAATCCGTTCCCCCTATTAATAAAGGTCTCCCTAATAATAAATATTTGTTTCGGAAGTCCCAAATCCGGGAATACTACTTTTAGAATAGCCAACGCTAAACCAATTCTAAAGTAGATATTTTCCTGCCCGTACTCAAATCCAGCCCCATTAGGGGGACCCCGGGGGCACGTTTCCTTTACTACGGCTGTACTACAAAGTTGCGACTTTCGAGCCAGAGCTCCGGGAGCACGTTTATGGGTCCCTCAATCCAAAAAGGTCCCTTTGAGTGACCCAAAACCCACAACCAAAAACAACAAAACGTGACCTCAACTCCCGCTATTTAAACTCCTTACTCAGAAATGTGCGTTTGAAGCGATTTTACGGAACGGAACAGGGGGACCACAGTTGCAAACAAGCCTACACAGAACAAGAAGTACCTCCAAAACCTGCCCTCCAGAACCAGGGGACCCCTAATAATAAAAATTGTTTTGCAGGCCGGTTATTTTTTTAAAGGGAGGGGGGGCGTCGTTTATTATTGGGGGGAAGGGCTTACGCTCCTGCTGGCCAGGCCTGTCTGACGTGACTGAGACTGGCCTGAGGCCCAGCCCAACCAGCGACACTTGCATCTGAATACAGAGCTCGTGCTGCTTGTCCCGCAGCCAAAGCCCCAGCTCTACTCCAAAGCTCTGGCTGCCTGACACGTAGACGCCCCCGCTGCGGTACAGCTCCAACAGCGCAGCGATCACACACGGCACCTCGCGCGCCACACTTAGGCTGGAGACGCGAAGCCTGCTCTGCAGGAGCTGCCACTGCTCTTCCTCACCTGCAAACTCGCGGTGGGATCCGAGGCAGCAAATCTCCGCCGCGCAGCCGCGATCTTGGATCACGCGCCACCAGAGCGGACAGGAGCAGGAGCATGCGTACTGCGACCATAGATTGGCCGTCAGCGGCATATCCGTCCACAGTTTTCTTTTCTGCAAGCCCAGCCCAACCCAACCACCCAAGCAACACAACCACTTGAGACAACCAGCACCTCAAGCCCAGCCAAGGCCTAGCCCAGCCTGCCCAGCCAAGCCAGCCCTCAGCCAAGGCTGAGCCCGTTCAGCCAACCCACCCAAGCTAGGCCAGCCCAGCCGCCGGCCCAGCCCAACCCCCACGCCAACACAGTTGATCAAGACTGCCGCGCGCGCGGGATTCCCATTCTGGCTCGAATGTGCCCGCGCAAGCAGCCGATGCCCAACTCCGACCGATCCACGCTTGAAAAAACCCCACACCAACACAGTCGATCAAGACTGCCGTGCGCGCTGATCACCACAGCTCTGCTTGCATCGCCTTGCCTTGACTTGGGGATTCCTGCGCAACTTCGGCCCATGACATCGATTGGTCCAACGACGACAGAACCTGTCCATTCCTAAATCGCCACTTGACCAGCTCTGCTGCTTGCAGTCGAACCACAAACGCTGCGCGCTCGGCTGGGCGGAGGCTGGCAACGCGCAGCGTTTACAATTAAAAGGTGCCATTTTGGGTACGACTTGTGGAGCCACGGCCATATGTGCCATGGTCAACTTGGTCAACTTCTCACGTCCATGGTCATGGCTCGAAGAAAAGTCCGGAAATCATGGCTGTCTTCAGCTTCCTCATGTTCATGGCCATTCCGAGCAGCGGCAAAAGGATGCTTTGATATTTTGACGGAAGTACATATGATGTTGTCTTGCCGGGCCCTTCTTCCAACATCTCCCGCTCTCTCTCTCTCTCTCTCTCTCTCTCTCTCTCTCTCTCTCTGAATATGCTTCGTCTTGAGGCTTGCGCCGTGTTTCGACTCGACACCCAACTTGTATCTGGCATGTTTGAGCGTTCAAGACGTGCCACTCAACGATCTGCTTAATCCCTGAATGCGGAAACACCATTCAAGCATCGAGTGTAATCAAAGTAGCAAGTGCTCCACATGATGCCGTTGCAGAGCCAATTAAGGCTCAAATAGGGCTTCCTTTGGAGCCTCCTTAGGCTCCAGCCTACAGTCATGCATAGCCGTCTATAAAGTCCGGCGAAACCCAAAAGTTCGAGAATCGCGTCTGACTCTTGCATGATGGTATCATGCTGTACTTCCTTATCAACCAAGTAGTTGGTTTATTTTTGGCTTCGCTTGGAAACATCGAAACCAGTTTTAGTTCGAGACGGACCCAGACTCCGACTCCTCGATGTCCGTGGCCACGGCCCGCTGCTCCTGCAGCTGCTCGTAGTGCCGGTGCTTCAGCGCACACCCGTGGCACCTTCGCGAAACGTGAAAACCTCTACTTGCGAGTCGCCAGTGTGACCCTGGGAATGCTTGGAGCCAGTTTCGACTGCCATCTTTGATGATAAGTCAGTCGCATTCCACCATCCTGGAGCAGTCCCTGGCTTTTGTGCCTCTGTGCCTCTGTGTCAATCATGTCTCCAAGTCTCTGCATGTCCGCGTGTCTGTGTCTCTATGCCGGCATCCATTTCCTGCCCCGTGTCCAGGCATAGCATCCCAAAGCAAGCAGCCAGACGCCTCCCTAGGCTGAGACCCCGTGCTTGGAAGCCTCCTGCCGCTGCTGCAACCTGGCGCAAGCTCAGGCACCAACGAGAAGAAGTTGGACGCAGGCAACTGAACCTCCTGAATCCCGACACCTTGGGCAATTTGGGGCCATATTTGAGCCAGCCGTCATAACGATGCACCAGAGAACCACCACTTTCATTTCTTTTGAAGTTTGGGCCCCCCATTCGCAAGCTTCATCCTTGTTTTGGTTGGTAAATATTTTCTTGATCCATAGTCCGCGCTGCAAGCTTTGGGTCAAAACCGTGTGTTGGCGAATGGAACATCCGTGCAACCCACAATCCGCAAGCTGCATAGTCAAATCCGCAAGCCGCACAATCGGTAATCCACTAATCATTGGGGATTGGGTTTTGAACAAGCATGTCTTAGGCAAGGGCCTCAAGCCGAAGATGTGAGGCCAGGCATTGTGCTTCTGTGCAAACTCACAAGCTGACACCCACGTACCCATGGCACGCGCTCTGATCCGAAAAAACATGCCGGCGCAGCTCGCGCTGCTGCAGCAGGGTGTCGTAGAAGTCCACCTCCACCTGCGCGGTCGCAATGGAATTGACTGACACCACAATATACTCACCCCAGCCTTCACGCCTGGCATTTGTTGAAAAGAAAGCAATAAAGGGCAGATACGGAAACCTCTAGCCTCATGCAAAGTATGAAGCGCCCGCGGAAATAATTCGGTGAAACCAGTACCACACGGTTCCGTAGTGAGAAAACCGCTGCCTGCTTCAGGGCTTTGGTCATCACCTTGTCGCATGGCAAAACAGCAGTGCGCGGAATATGACTCAAGGACGGACAAAGAGACTTGCAGCTGCAGTGAAACTCAACACTTCAAGGCTGGGCATGCGCCTACCAGTTTCTAGCTTATGCGGTATTTGCCAAGTTTTACTTGGAATCTTTTTGGCAACAGCACCACATGAAGGTGGCGCCCAGCTGCTATGGCTACAGCAATAAGAGTAATGTACCAAAAATCACAATGTTCCCTGGCGCGGACACCTTCCCTAGGAAGAGCCCTGCAACACTTGCAGCTCTCCGCTGTATTTTGGAGACCCTCATTTCATAACGAACACCCCCGCTTTACCACTTACCCCACTCTACAAAGATTTGATTTGAAGAACCCCTCGTTATGACTGCAACCCCAGCAGTTGACAAGTATCCGCAAGCTGGGACCATCTGGCCAGCGGCTGCAGGTTCTCCAAGCTCTGCAACTCGCGGCCTCAGCGCCACTTCACCCGGGGCTTGTTCCCTGCCCATATCGACCTTCACTGTACTCCCGAGCTGAGAATTCAATTGTGAACAGGGTGTCGAAAGATCGGGACTGGGCTCCAAGACCACAGCTATTGGAATGAATCAGAATGAACAAGTTCCGACTTTCGAGCCAACCTCGTGAACATTGTGGGTCGAGTGGCGAGCATCTTACTTCATGAACGATTTGAACGACGAATTGTACTAGGCCCTTGGCTTCCTTGGCGAGGCCGCTGCCCATCGATCCACCAAAATCATTCTACAAAAACTGCAAGCTCGGAGGCCAACGAAAATCCGGTGCAAGTAAAAAGATTGCATATAAAACGCTCTCTGCCAGGGCGTGTCAAACTACTGCCTGGCGGTAGGTGCCATATGCGCCGATACACCAAGACTCGGACATCAAAAGCCAAACCATCTTAGTATTGAGATCAACACATGCCATCATTTCCGGTAAGTCCACGGGATTGCGCCACAGATGTGTCGACGGCATGCGCAGACCTGCTGGAAACAACTCCTGCCCGCCCAGTCCATGTGTGTTCTGTCCTTGCCATCATCGAAGCTGTCTTCTGCATTCTGCCCCACACCATGATCACTGAAGTAAGCATGCTTCAATCATCTGTAGCCCAGGACACCAAATGTGGTCACAACATGTTCCGAGCACAGGGCCGAGATTCTTCATGGCTGACGCAACTATCGCGACATCCGCAGCCTGACAAAGTGTGGATTGGTTAGCTATTTGTCCTGGGCTGCCCATGGGTGACAGCCAGAGGTACAAAACCCCAGCCAGCAACACAAACCACATTTTTCGGCCTTTCGGACTTAGAGGAGCAGGCGCAGCGCGCTAAGACCACTTTTGGCGCAATGGCTCTCTTAGATTCCCTTACGAACTCTGCTGAGACCAAAATCCGACAACCTGTTGCCAATGAAACCTGCGCCTGTAGGCCATTGGGGAAGGGAAGGAAAAGGATTTCCAGGATTTCTGTACACCTTGTTTCCCTGCCTCTGCCTCTCTTCCCCGTTGCCATCCCTCTGGCCCCCTTTGCCGTGCGCGCACCTGGGCTCAGTTCCTTTGATGTCTTTGGAGTTGTTGTTTTTTCTTACTCTGGACTCTGAACATCCAAAACTTGGGGGTGCGGACCTTCCAGCTCGGCCTCCCGAGACTGAAGCTGCGCCCTTTCGCATGTCTGGGCATCCAGGACTTGCTCGAAGAGTTGCAGCGCCTCAGAATGTTTGACGATCTCAAGTTGGTCGGGCCGCACCATCGCATTTCACAGGCTGGTGGATTCGTATGGCACAACACAGGTGCTGCCTGTTGCAGGCAAATTTCTGCGCCCAGGCTTGGCCAAGAAAAGAAGTGTACTTTTGCGAACCATACACAAGAAGCAACTGCCGGGCAAGGCTGAAAAGTAACAATCTACACCCCAGAAACATCCATGGCAAGCGGCAAACCACACAGCAAGGAACATGTCCAAATGGTACACTGCATTGCGGCTATGACAACCTCTGCGCGTTTCACGCCCTACTGCTGCCCAGTAGCCGCTTCTTTAGTAAGCTAGTGAGTCCGGACGTTATGAGTTTGATGAAGTTCCCTATCCCGAGCGATGTCCTGCAGCTTGACCCATCTGGACACGAGCATGGCTGCGCTTGGTCCGGTTCCATCTTCCGCCACCACTTTACGCGCGTCCACCTTTACTGTGTGGGGCTGCCTGGCCTGTGGCTGGCCACGAAGGATGTCCACGACGACTGCGACGAGGGTAACGATGATTACGATCACTCACAACAGGTGATGCGCTCAAAGTCATCGAGTTTTGCGGACCGCGCCTGACGTTTGTGCATAGCGAAGGGGGTCATGTCCATGTCCAACCACCAAACAAGTTCCCACTCTTGCGTCGAGAGGAGTCATCCACAAAGCCCCCGACTCAACTTGTTTGCCGAATGGAGCGCCGGATCCCAAAGAATAACCCGTCGCGCTGGGCTCCCGTGCGCAGCTCAGGGGCAGCTCTTCGGGCTGCACTGCCCATTCGCCCTGTGGGGCTTGCGAGCACATCCCTTGGTGACAGACCTCTCTCCCTCACTAGGTCCCTCGCTGCTGTATGTCTCTCTGTGTCAGCAAATGCGAAAAATGGCTAAACTACATCCTCTGCGCTAAAAGCGAGCACTGGTCTTTCTTTGGGCTGACAATGCATTTTGGGCGGAGCCTCACGTGAGGGCCATCAAGTACAAAATCAGAGGTGATGTCGTGATCGCCATCTGGCATCTGGATCGTGAGGAGACGAGCCTTTTGAGTAAGACCCTAAGTGTGAGCACGACCTGGGAGTCCACAATCTCCAAAGACTCAATGATAACGTCCCAGAAAGACACCTCTCTGGGTTAGAAGAGAAATGCGAGCGGCTGT